GCGGCCACAGAGCACAGACGCGGGCGGCGGGGGCATCTTTATAAACCGCGGCGCTCACAGGATGGCGCACTTGCCCTTCTCCACCCACGGGTTGTTCTTCATCAGGTCGGGGTTCAGGAAGGGGTCCTTGGGGATGCCGTCCTCGATCCACTTGAGGAGCCTGGGGGGGGGGGAGGTGAGCGGGCGCTGAGGCGGGGGTAGCGCGGGGCAGGGCGGGCGCTCACTCACTCGGGGATGGACGTGGAGGACATCTCGCGCTTGAAGGCCAGCTGGTGGCGCAGACTCTCCACCTCCTTCTGCATCCGCGGCGCGTCCCACTCCTCCGTGGGGTCCTCCTTCTCGGCGGCGGCCAGCTTGGGCTGCGGGCACGGCGTGCGGGCGGCGCACTCACTGCGTGCTCCCCACGGCTCCCCGCCTGTTCCGGAGTCCCCGGTGTCTCCCGTCCGGCTCTCGCCAGGGCCCCCACTAACGAGGCCCCAGAGACTGCAGGTCCCCTCGGGGCCAATCAGCTGCAGGGAACTTTCCGCCCTGCGCCCCTGCGGCGGCCACCGGCTGGGAGAGCTGCTTGGGTCTGGGCGCGGCCAGGCCACTCACCCCTGGCTGGGCAGCCCCGGGGCCTCCCTCCGCTTTGCATGGGCCGAGCCCACCCCGAGGCTGGGCCTGGAGGATTTGGCTGCAATTTGCATCTTTGGCCAGCAGGGCTGGCGGAGCGTCCTGGGGTCCGCCCTGGTCACCAGGGCCACTGCCTGGCCGCAAGCCCACTTGCCCTGCCCCTTCCCCGGCGCCCACTCCAGGGGCCCTCCTGCAGCCCGGGGCTCACTGGGGGCATGACTCCGTCGCCTCGGACTCCGAGCGCAGCATCTTCAGGGCTTGGGGGTGCGGGGCGCCCATCTGGAGACCCCGCAACCGCCCCCGACCTAAAGCACCGGACGGGGACGCGGCGGCCCTCGCGACCCCGCACGCTGACCTGACCGAGGGGCGCTCCGCCGGTGCCCGACCCCTCCGGACGTGCAGCGCAGTGGC